CAGAATTATAGATCCAAAAAAACAGAAATCCCAGCGAATGTGGAGAATGCATCTATCTAATCCAAGAATATTGAACACTAAACCCTTTAGATGTTTGCAAATACGGTATCGCAACGGTACTGAAACCATTGTAAATCTAGGTGAATTGAATGATAATGAGGAAGAAGTAATTGATTCTTTGAACATGAAAAATATATGCGCGGATAAAACCCCCGATTAAGCTTTCATACAGACACGCTACATAACGGAAAATAGCTGTGACAAGTTCAATAAGGGTATTATCATGTGATTAGATGTTAAATCGAATCTTGGACTTGGGGGATGAAAGCACGTGCCTTGGTCGAGAAGCTGGAGCCCACTTCATCTTAGACTAGATAAGTATTTCAAAAACCCCAGATTCAGAAATAGCCCTGGCCAAGCGAACACAACATACAGGATTTAGTCGAACACCGTGGAAACCACAGGTCTCCACAATAATCTGTCTATTGTTCCGAAGTCGTGATCAGTACGAAAGCATTGCAGCAAGAAGGCGAGATACCGAGGAGAACCGTTCACCAAACTCCGAACGAGAGAGGAAACCGATGCATCGAACACGTTGCTTCGCATTTTATTGTTTTCATCCGCATCAGTGTCACCAACTTCACCACTGCCATTTCCCTCCACAGCACAGTGCTGTACTCAACATTTATAACATACTGTAATTGTTTCTGCGTTTCACGGTAATTAAAGAAACAAAACCCGCTCTTTCTTTATTCCTGGCTACAACTTGCCCTCCTCTGTTGACGCAAGCAAAAACGATTGATGCAACAAGCCGTCGCCCCTCTGGATTTGATTCGCAACCCACACAAGAATAAGGAGCACCAGGAAAGTAAAACGCAAGAACGGTACTCGTAGTTTGAGCATTGAGTTCTGCTCTGTTCTGATCTGTTCTATTGACTCTTGCCCACCATGAGCCCGGTGCACTCTCTGCACGATTGCGAGGATGGCACCATGACGGCCTGTTCCTTCTCCAACCTCACCAACACCGTTCGGATCTCCAGACCGGAGAAACAGATCTCTGTCCTGAGTGATGACKGCGAAAACAGCGTCGGCTACGATCCTCGGAGGAACGGGCATCGACCCTCCCCCGGGAGCCACGGGAGCGGGAACCGCCAGAGCAGCCACAACAGCAGCCATATCTCGCAGCCGGATGGCAAGAACGGGGAACTCAACCTGCACGAAAGCGACTCCGAGGCCTCCCGGGCGGTCATCATCGGGAGGGGGGTYTTTGTGGTGTTCATCCTGGTTGTGGCGGGAGTCTTCGGATTTATGGCATATTAGTAAGTCGAGAAAGATTCGTTCCACCGAGCAAGTACTGTGTGGACTTGTGCACGCGGCACACCTAGCGAGGCGTCGCTCGGAGACTTAGTGGAACCTTCCACAGCGTGGTATTCTGTGGACTCACGGTTGCTTCTGCTTTGTTGCTTCTGCTTTGTTGCTTTTGCTTTGTTGCTTTCGTTCGATCAGCGTCTTGAACGTCGCCGAAGAAAACCTGGCTGCMAAACAATACGTGAGCTTCACGAGTGGAGCCCTCCAGAGCGTTAGGGACCTGGCGGAAAACAAGCTCGTCCACGGGACCCAGATCATGGCAAAGCACGTCGGATGGACGTATCCCAACGCAGGCGAAGACTGGCCCTTTGTGTGGGTTCCGTCCTACTGGGACATCATGGAAGACGTCCTTCCCACCAGCGTATGGAGCGGGGTCAACCTTGCACCGATCGTCCAGCCCGAGCAAGTGGCGGCCTTCGAAGAATTCGCCTACGGAAAGTTCGACGAAAACTTCGGGGAGAATACCACCATGGGTGGGACCTCGCATTTCGGAAGGGGTATCTGGGTCCAAGATCCTCTGCGGGTCAACACCAGTGATCATCGTTACCACGACACCACCGGAGTTCCTTTGTACGAGGGGAGTCCCTACAACTACCTGGCCCCGAAAATCCAAGACGGACTCGTCCACACGCCCTACACAATGATGAACGTCCACGGATTCGAGCTCCAGGGACTCTCTCTGGACGCAGTCATGAATTGTTCCATAGCGCGCAAGGAAAACGCCACAAGGGATGGCCTCTTAGGTGCAGACGACGCCCCGAGGGTCACCTCGCAGCCCCAGGGCTGCGACGACTCCGAGGGCGTCGCATGTGCACCTAATCCGAAGCAATTCCGTTGCAGTGCCCTCAGCGGGATGCTCCCCCCCAAGAACATCAAGGAGGAACACGGGATTGCCGGANAAACAATACGTGAGCTTCACGAGTGGAGCCCTCCAGAGCGTTAGGGACCTGGCGGAAAACAAGCTCGTCCACGGGACCCAGATCATGGCAAAGCACGTCGGATGGACGTATCCCAACGCAGGCGAAGACTGGCCCTTTGTGTGGGTTCCGTCCTACTGGGACATCATGGAAGACGTCCTTCCCACCAGCGTATGGAGCGGGGTCAACCTTGCACCGATCGTCCAGCCCGAGCAAGTGGCGGCCTTCGAAGAATTCGCCTACGGAAAGTTCGACGAAAACTTCGGGGAGAATACCACCATGGGTGGGACCTCGCATTTCGGAAGGGGTATCTGGGTCCAAGATCCTCTGCGGGTCAACACCAGTGATCATCGTTACCACGACACCACCGGAGTTCCTTTGTACGAGGGGAGTCCCTACAACTACCTGGCCCCGAAAATCCAAGACGGACTCGTCCACACGCCCTACACAATGATGAACGTCCACGGATTCGAGCTCCAGGGACTCTCTCTGGACGCAGTCATGAATTGTTCCATAGCGCGCAAGGAAAACGCCACAAGGGATGGCCTCTTAGGTGCAGACGACGCCCCGAGGGTCACCTCGCAGCCCCAGGGCTGCGACGACTCCGAGGGCGTCGCATGTGCACCTAATCCGAAGCAATTCCGTTGCAGTGCCCTCAGCGGGATGCTCCCCCCCAAGAACATCAAGGAGGAACACGGGATTGCCGGATTCATAGCCACGCCGATCTACCCCGCAAACGATCCCTACGAACTCGTTGGATTCATCTTTGGGATCGTGTACTGGGTCGAGGTGATGATCGACATATTTCCGATGCACACCGTTGGCATCGATTGCGTCTTCGAGGATCCGGACTACCAATACACCTACACCATTCGAAACAACACATCGACACTCATCTGTGAGGGTGACTGCCACGACGAAACCTACAATTCCTACCGGATGAGCACAAAAATTGTGGATTCCAACCTGTTGAGCGAAGGCTCCGTGGTCTACACAATGACCTGTTATCCCAATGACGAGTTTTTCCAAGCCTACCACACGAATAATCCCATCACGGCGTCCATTGGAGCCATCCTGATCATCATGCTGACCTCTGTGTTGTTCTTTCTCTACGACTACTTTGTTCGGCAAGAGTTTTCGGCAAAGAAGGACCTCTTCGAAGCCAAGCGCAAGTTTGTTCGGTTTGTTTCTCACGAAGGTAAGCAAGTTGTAATGCTAGTTGTATGCGATGCCACGGCACAGGATTCGGTTTCGATCGGTTGCTCACCAACTTCTTGGTTTCTCCATTGCCTTTTCCTGTTCTTCACTTCCTATAGTCCGAACACCGATGAATTCTGTCTGTATGGGATTGAACGTCCTCCAAGAAGAAGCCGCGATTGCGCTGGGATATGAAACCCCGGACGGCATCCGAAAGACCAAAACCACCGATGGTATTCAGAACCAGCCCCACCTTGGTCGCCAACAAATTGAGCACTGGTTTGATCTCGCCAACGAGATTTCCGTCAACGCACAGGCCTCGGTAGAAGTCCTCGATGATTTTCTCAACTACGACAAGATCGCTTCGGGGGAACTATCCCTGGAGTACACCATCGTGCCCGCCTGGAACCTGATCGAAGACACCGTTGCAGAATTCAAGCTGCCCATGACAAAGAAAAACATCACCCTGCATTTTATGCTGCCAACCGCTAACGACTTTCAGAAGACGGTGGCGGAGAACCGCAAAAAGGAAAGAAACAATTCCATTATGTCTCAAGGTTCGTCCGAACGATGGTCCTTGAGAAGCGGAATAGACGGGAGCGACAGAACCCGTCCACTGGACAACCGAGGCCATGAATCGACGAAGAACTTAGATGACCTCGAGGCCGGATGTGGTGGCACGGACGATTGGTATTCCCAGGTCCAAAACATGAAACTCATCGGTGATTCGATCCGAATCACCCAGGTTATCCGCAACCTGGTCAGTAATGCCATAAAGTTTTCAAGAGAAGGAGGCGACATCCGGATTTCTACAAAATTTCAGGCGGTGGAGAAAGTCAAGAAGCCAAAGACCTTTGAACTGAAAAGCGAAGAAACCCTTACCTGCAGCCAAACGGGCGATCTCGTGTTTACCATTACGGATACCGGAGCAGGATTGACACAATCTCAACTGAAGAATCTGTTCAAAGCTGGGGTTCAATTTGATGTCAACAATTTGCAAGCCGGAAAGGGTTCGGGCCTTGGATTGTACATATCGAAGGGAATCATCGAGCAACACGGAGGCAAACTCTCTGCGAATTCGAAGGGGCTTGGTTCTGGTACAACATTTACCGTGGCACTCCCTATCTTTAATGTGCCAGAAAAAGTTTGGTACACGCAGCAGCTGATGCGAAAGAATTCAAGACGGTCTACTAGGTTTTCGATAGACAGCTCCCTCAAAACGGCGAAGACTGCCGCATGTTCCGTCACGGTACTCGGCGGGGACGACGAGGGTCGCCTGAACATAGAGGAGAAAGAGAACACCGATGGCAAACACTCGGAAGACGAAGTACTTTCCGAGGACGAATCCTTGTCGGAGCTCAAGATTTTGTTGGTTGACGACTCAAAGAGTAACCGCAAACTCTTGGACCGATTGCTGACCATGCGTGGGCACAAATGCGAGCACGCCGAGGATGGACACATCGGTGTGGAAATGACATTGAGGGCAGAGGGATTTGCTCAACCCTACGATATTGTCTTGATGGACTACGAGATGCCAACACTGAATGGACCGGCAGCCGTGAAGGAGATTCGTGATTACGGATGTGATGTTTTTATAGTCGGGGTCACCGGCAACATCATGGCCGAAGACGTGAAGTACTTCAAGGACTGTGGGGCCAACCTTGTGTTGCCGAAACCCTTCAAGGTAAAGGAGTTCCAGGCTCTTATCCAAGAGAACCTTGAACACGACAGCCGAGGAAGAATTGTGGAGAAGATACCCGGAGGACTCGAATTCATCACACTTGGACTCTCCCAGCGATGCGATGGCAACATGAGTTGCTCAAGCACGCTCGGGTGGAACGAATCATCCTCGCATTTCGACACTTCCTTAAAAAGCATTTCTAGCGTTTTGGATCGTGAGGAGTCGGGAAAGGTCAGCTTTTCTCTCCCGCCAACAGAAACCCAGTAAGGTGGTTCACAGAACGTCATGCAGTTCGGAAACTTTGAATATTATCCACCAGCGGCTTCAAAAGGGATGTCAGGAACAACACTAATTTTTGAAAATTTTGAAATCGCTACCTAGCGAATTTTTGTCACAAACGCAAGCAACAGAAAATTATATAACAATGAAATCTTTACATTATCTAAAACAAACAACTAATATTTTCGACTAGATGTTTTTGTCTTGCTTGACGGACAATGCAACAACCATCAATTGTGATCAAATAAATATACCTGGGTTGTTCGGAGTCATTCGATTGGAATGAACCCCAAGTGAATTGTGCGGGGATACGATTTCTTTGCAAGCTGAATTACCAGTAGAAGATACGAGACACGAAAACTCAAAAGGACACAACCATTTTTAAGTGACGCAGTATGGTGGAAAGAAAACAAGAGACTGCATCATTCTTCGGGGTTTACTAAGATTAAGAATGGTGGAATAGTAAGTTCCGAGCTGCTTGAATTACCAATCTACAGCGCTGTAACATCCTCCCGGTTCCGGAACCAGATATATTAGTGACACTCAGAGACTTAGACGGAACTTGGCAAGATTTTCCAGCCCTTCGTCAGAAATCTTGTCTCCAGACGCTGCCAAGATTTCTTCAAGGTGTTTTTTGACTGGTTCGACGACCTCTTCCTGATGACGTTTCTCGCGCTTGCTTTCTTCTTGAGCTCGAAGGGCCTGTAAGTTTTGGCGCCATTGCTCTTCCTGTTGTTTCAGGTATCGGTCTTCTTCGAATTTTCCCTGCAGTACCAGCATTCGAAAGTATATACATAGATTTGCATTTTATCGCGATGGGGGGGGGGGATCAATGCATGCAGCACCAACATTTCGATAGGCGTGGGTATAAAGTTTTTTCGTGGAAAGAAGAAAACGAGTGTYAGTTACAACTGTAAGTGTCCGACTAGGATCCTTTCATTTGCTGAACAATCGACTTTTGGGAGTGTGCAGTTGAAACCATTCCGTGTATCAACAGGCGAAAAAAAAACGTACCCTTAGACGAGCGTGGTCTTCAAATGCCATCATTGTACGTCGACCTGTGTTGAGAGTGACGGAGCTCCGACGAAGCGCTGGCAAAAAGAAGCGACGAGATGCTACTTGGAAGGTCGTCATTGCGGTACAGTCTTATGAAATGAAAATCTAGTGGTTATTCTGCTCTTCCGGACACTACTATTTTATATTTCGTTTGTTGGTCGTTTTGTTACTTTTTTCTTTCKTATGTTCTTGTATTTCGGTTTTGTGAGACCGTCGTCATGCAGCGAATATGATCACTCTTAGCGAAGTAGTCCTACTTGACACCTAAAGACTAGGTTGATCTTCAGCATTTCCAACATGAGAACCTCAATAGAACACTAGTGATGGCAGAAGCTTCAATTGAACAACAAAATATGTCATGAAAGAAGAATCTATCAGATCGTCGCAACCAGAAGTATCTTCTGAACTACTTCTAACACACGATTGAAAAAATGATCGAACGAGTCGAAAACATATCAACCGTCTGATTTGTCAATTAAAAAAAATGAAAGCAGCACGATACTAGTATTACTACTAGTAGTTAAACACTGCACTGGTGGACTGCAGAGTCAGAGAGCAGCAAATAATTGCGAAATCAATTTCTAATTTTATGTATTGTATGGTGGTAGGAAATAGTAGTATGTCAGTTGCCTCCAATGAATCCAAATAAGATTGCCTTTATCCTGTGTGGAATTCTATTTCTCAAGATGATGGATTATCGATGGAATAATGAAGAAAAGAAACCGTTTTTGTGTTGTCTTCGATRGCCAGCAATCGGAACAAAATTGTTCCAAAAATTAAAAGAGGTTCGATTCTCTGTTAAAAAATCCGAGTCTCCGTCAAAGTCAATGCCCGTGAAGAACATACTCATCACATTCTTATGTTCGCCTGCCGCTTCGATTGCACTCATGTGCTCGTCGTCGGTGCCTCCATAGTAAATACTTTCAGTTGTGAAGACGTCGCCCTCCTCGAAGCGTATACCCCCTTCTTCAATTTCATCATAACACGAGCCAATCTGGATCAGATGGTTCTGCTCGTTTCGAGCATTAGCGGTCTCGTCGGAGTCTGTTCCATACACGGCAGAACTGGCACAAACTACTTTCCCGTTGATAAGCAGGGTTGCATTGATAGCCCCGGTATGCAGATGACTCTGTGCCCAAATCAGTTTTCCTCCRGCAGGAGCAATCACATTTATCTTTGTTTCCAGGTAGGGATTGGCATTATTTTCTGGTACGGAATGAAACAAAGATCCCCCCCCAGTGGTCAAACTTTGCGATGCAGTGATGTTGGAACAAAAGTTTCCCGGTGCGTATTGTTTAAAGACGCTGTCTCCATACAGATTTACAGCACAAGCGGGTGCAGCGAAGTTCCATTGGTCAACTCGTTTGAACCTGCTAATGTCTTTCGAGATTAAGAGATCTATTTCGAAACGATACTTCGTGGTTTGTGATGTGTCTCGTTCGGTCCGGGTGGCACAAGCGCACTCTTCTCTGCCCGTAGTGCAAACATAGCTATCTCCACAACATTTGAAGGTCCCAGATGCTTCTGGCGTGCATTCAGAACCCTTTCCTGGTGCGTAGAAGCATTCATTGCATTCTTTATGCGCACGGGATAAGCTACCATTGATCGGGGCAAGGTTCTTGTTTGACAAGAGGTGAGCGTTGGTTGTGATGTGTGGGGTTTCATCCACCATTACATGCAGGGCATATCCGTCGGGAAATTTCATGTAAGGCATGCTTGCGTTGCGCGTGAGGACTTCAGCTCCGATCATGTTGATGGGTGGAATGGAGAAATGATGCACGTAGACCTCATCAAGAGACACAGGCTCTCCAGTTTGTCGGTTGATGTTTCGGGCGGTACTCATTCCAAGGACCGCGTAGTCAAAATCCAGGTTCGGAATAAGTTCTGAACTTGCAACAGTGAATAAGCTTTGTCCATCGTATAACTCGTACTCGTAGGTTACTGTCATGGGTATCACAACAATCTCCTCGCTAACACTGTTGCCCGTGCTAAGTCCGGCTACGTTCTTAATCGTGTAGCTCTTGTCGTGGTGTAACTTTGGTGGAGACTGGTGACAAAACTGGCATTTTGGACTTTTTCTTAACATCCATTTCGAAGGATTCGAATCATTTTTCTGATAAAATCCAAGTGCAACCAAAAAGATGATTGATACAAGCGTCACTGCTTTCCATGGGAAAACTCCTGGCTGTTGCTTTCGTTCATTGTATTGTCCTTGCCGATAATTGAAGCCATCAATGTCGGTGTACTCATTCTTCTTTGGTTTTGTGGTCTGAACAAGCTGTGCTAATTCATCTCTCATGTTAGCTATCATTGGGCTTCAAATATTCTTAGTGTGTTTGATTATGGTTTCTTTCTGCTGTGTTTGCGATTTCGTTTGGTTATGCAGCACTTTTTTGTGAGGACGGAGGTGAGTTGCATGGCCGGGTGATGGAAGCGGAATTTCGCTGAGAATTTCGAATTTCTGTTTTCATCTGCTCGATAAAGCAGGATTTTGAGTCGTGCGGTGTAGCGTTAATTAAGAAGTACAAGTACGTACGTGCGTACGGTACGTACTCGTAGTATCTGGTACCGGTATGATAGATCCTTTTTACTCGTCTTCATGGCGTTATCCTTTTTACTCGTCTTCATGGCGTCGGCGATCGGCGAATTATCGTGGGTGATCGAATCAGTCGTGGATCAAATTGGTACTAGTACACTTACCTACCGGTATGCAATCTTGTGGATATGCCTTCTTCTTCTTTTACTACTAGTAGAAAGTCTAGGGTTTAAATTAATAGTGAAGACCACCAGAAGCTCACCTCCTTGCTTGCTACCAAGCTAGGGAATATAGGCCTTCTTTTAACTACTAGTACTACTACAACAAGAGGAAAGGTCTACCGCCGGGACGTTGTGAAATGACGTATTTCCACGCACTCAAAGCTACCAAATACATGACTAAGTCCACTACGGTGACCTGTAGTAGTTTAAGCATACAATGTTACAGAACAGTATGGTATGTACTACCTACTAGGAGATGATGGCAGGACCAGTAGTACAGTACGAATGGTAGAGGCTTATCTCAATCAGTAGTGGTGTTACTACAAGGAATTGGCTTTAAATCAGATATAAAGTCGACATAAAGTAGATATATATCTGTGCAATGGATACGTACGTACCGATGAATCGTTACGTACGATACAAAGCTCCGAAGAAAGGAATGAAGGATCATACCATTCCTACGTACCTATCGTAAGGTACGCTT